TTATATGCCAAAAAATACGGTAATTTTAGGACAAACTGGAGGGGAAGAGGGGAGTCCTTTAGTAACAGCTGCTGTTAAACAACTCCATTCAGGAATCCTTGGCAATGTTCTGCAAACCACCTAAGGATTTAGCAGGATTTAGCAGGACAGAAAACGACTAGGATTGGGAAAGGCAGCTATGCAAGAACTAGACAAGATCTTAAAGTGCAAAGATATGCAACTGAACACCAAAGTTAGGATCATCCAAGCCGTCATATTTCCAATCACCATATACAGCTGTGAGTGCTGGACAGTAAACAAGGATGATAGGAAGAAAATCAATTAATTTGAGATGTAGTGTTGGAGAAAAGTGCTAAGGATGCTGTGGACAGCCCAAAAGACAAACAAATGAGTCCTTGCACAGATCAGACCTGAACTCTCCCTGGAAGCCAAGATGACGAAATTGAGGCTGTCATATTTTGGCCACATGAGAATGCACGACTCACTAGACAAAGCAATAATGCTAGGAAAGCTGGAGAGTAGTTGAGAGGAAGCCAACACTCAAGATCAGGGGTAGGCAACCTTTCCCCTTTAAGGGCCGAGGGACTTCAGCTCCCAGAATCCCAGGAGCTATTGGCCAACATGGGACTATTGGCCAACATGGCTGAGGCTTCTGGGAGCTGAAGTCCCTCGGCCCTTAAAGGGGAAAGGTTGCCTACCCCTGCTCAAGATGGATAGACTCAATCAAGGAGATCACAGCCCTGAGCCTGCAGGACCTGAGCAGGATCTTGGATGAGTCTCATTCACGGGGTCGCCATGAGCCAAAATCGACTTGAATGTAGCTGACAACCTTCCAGAAGCATATTTGGCCTATTCAGTCTCTAACTGCTGACCCTATAGAGGAGAGAGATCTAATGCCAGATACCAGTAAAAGAAATTTGGGTTCCAGGTGGCATGTAAATGTTAAAAGGACAAGAAGTTATCCTGACATGATCAGGGGGAAAAAAAGGGGGGGTCAAAATCTAGTCAGGCAATCTTTTTATTTGCACCAACTCAAAAACCATAAAAGAGGGAAAAGGGGAAAGGAAGGCAGGTTCCAGTACCAGAAGGAGAGGAGATGGAATCACAAAGACAACACAGAAACAAAAAATGCCATATTGCCCAACACATACAAAAATAACAGGAAATCTTGCATCCTTTCCAATGCAATCAGGGATGAGCAACTTGTGCCCTTCTAAATGTTGTTTGCTCCCAGTATTCCTCATCATTGGCTGTGCTGTCTGGGGTTCCTGCTAGAGGGCCACATAATTCTGAGTCTTGAGTTAAAATTGCTTTACTGAGAGCAGGCCCACTAAAATTAATGCTACTTGTTAGTTTTTGAACAAGCTAACACGGCA